CTCACATCTAACATGTTGATCTGTTTGCTTTTAAATTGGTGCTAGGCTCAGCGCCAGACACACGGAACATCCAAGTATATCTCAACTTACAGACCCCTGCTAAGGCGTGATAGAATGATGTTGTAGAATTTGTAGTTGTCTTGGGGAAGCACTTGACTCGATGGCCTCCTTTCTGGTGAGTTCATCGTGCCCTCGTCAAACACAACTCCACACTTAAATCCCTGAAGTTCACTCACAGGCCACATTCTTACTTCTCCACATCATGTCCCAGATACATAGTTAAAAACACAAGTATTCAGATCAGAGCCGATGTTCATTCAGCTGACACAAACATGCTGCATGCTGGGAAAATATACCCCTCAAAGATCTTTGGTACTCAGCAAGGCAAAAGAAAGAGGGACTGCAAGCAAATGCTCTTTTTATTTCGAATAGGAGCCTCAGGTCCTCCTAAATCTTGCCAGGAACATTCAGGAGAAGAGTGATTTACCTAAGTGGGTAATTTTTTTTTCAGTAAGTACTTCGGTGCCAATTGTGAGGGCTCACGTGATGCTACAGATGTTCCAGTGTGGTCGTTTGCTTATGACACGTTTTACGATTGCTGTTTTTCATACGAGTAAGTTCAATGATGTAGCACACAGAACTTTATCTTCTGAGCAAACCGCTCAGATTATTTCTTCTTACGTGGATGTGGGAGAAATTTCCTGAACTTTCATAGATGCGAAAGAGTGAAATGTCCTCTTTGTTTGTAGGGTCAGTTGAGAAATGCTTGTTTCAAAGAGATGATCTGAAAGACTGAGATACACGCTTTGCTTCCCTGGCAGAAGCATGAAGATGCTGAGTGAGTTTGTGTCTTAGTCCAGCTGCAGGGAGGACTGCCTAGAATGTAATTCTGTCTGGGTTGTTTAAAGTACAGAGATAGCATTGCAACAAATAACATTTTCCCTGCTTTGAGGGAAATTTATATTGAATATTTCCCTCTCTGCAACCTTCAGTCAGCAAAACTCAAAATTCTTGCTTCAGCTCACTGAGTAGTAAACTGGGCACTTGTTTTGTTCTAGTTTTATTACTATAGTTGCCTCCATCCCAATCATTTTGCAGACTGTTTAGATGAGGGTTAGCTCTTTTAAGTTATCAGCCTTTTAAGAATAAGCCAGACAATGACATATTTGAATGTTAAAGGCAGGATTGTCTAAGCTTTTAGTAGGCACAGATCAGATTGACTTGTATGATTTCATTCAAAGGTCACAGCAGCAACCCCTCCCCACGACATGGCTAAGAGGGACCAAGATGTAAACATGACCTGTCAAGTGTGGGCATCGCCATCGTGTGAGCAGACACATTTGTAAATCAGTAATGCCAACGTGTTAATAACGTGGTGCAGCGGAGGGATCACTGCGCTATCAGACCAGCTAGCTGCAGAAGCAGTGCTTCCAGAAAAACACATGCTTTCCATCCTGCTGCTCTTTCACGCTCAACGTACAACTTAAAAAAGAGAGGTTGAAAGATCAGATTGGGATCTGAATGAATTTTTCCTGTTGTCTGTATTTGTGTTAATGACTGTAGAATAAATCACCTCTGAATTTTAGTAATGGTATTATGAACCTGTTTTGAGATGATCTCATTGCTGTAATCTTCTAGGAGGATGTCAGTTTTTCATATCTTATCTAATATTTTTTGGCTTTATCGACTGAAGTAGTATAAACCAGGAACAGTATTAATGAAAGCCTTTCCTGCATGGCTTCTTCACAGACCTGTGGTGGATTATCTGTCCTTTAGTCTTTCAGGATAGATCTGATGCAGACTGTAGAAAAACTACAAAATACAGAGCATCGCTGTGGCTGACTGGTTTCCTTTAGGGTGTATGAGATGAGAGGCATCCCTGAGAGTTCAGCACCTCCGGGATGCTCAGGGACAAGCATCTCTTGTGAAGCATTCACACGGTGCGTTTTCTGGAGGGTAGGGAATGGAAAAGCTCTGTGTACAGGTCTGGTCACTGACATGCACAAAATAGGGAAAATAATTTCCCCGTTCATTACCCAGGCAGTACTCCTGAACTGTCACAGCTTGCGTTGTTATGCTAAGGAGAAAGAAAAGTTCACATTGAAGATAAAATGGGCCTTTTATTTAAACAATCACACCGCTTATGTAACAGCTCTCTTAATGGTGAAGTGCAGCTGAGCCTGGAACATGTTGTTTTCAGAAATGTCACGTAATGGGTAACAACGTAAAGTGTAGTAAACGGCGCTGAAGGCGATGGGCATGGAGAGAGACCGGAGGGTGGGAACACGGAACGTGTGTTTGCGGGGACGTGAGTGTGCCGCCCTACTGGAAGCAGGAGGTTGGAACCAGGCTTCGTAAAGCGAGGGGAGTGGGCTTTGTAAAGGCCATCAGAGGACTGGGCTAACGAGCCACTGCAGGAGGGGCGAATGGTCCTTCTCAAAGTGAGGACGAGACGGGGAGAACGCCCAAGAAAGGCGAGCTGGCACAGCACGGACCATGACCATGGGGAGGGTTTCAAGAACTGACAAGGGTCGAGGGAACTGACTGTAAAGACTTGGTGTGGGAAGGAGAAACAGGAGAGAAGGCAGAAATGATGAAGCTCTGGAACTTTTTCACAATAAGATTACTGTAATTGTGTTTTCATGCATAGGAAAGGCTGCTGAGCAACCTTGCTCTTCTCATTCTTGAAATGGCAACCACTGACTAATACACACACATGAAAAAACACACACCCCACGCCCACACAAACATGCAATTGCACAAAATTAGGAAAATTGCTCATCTTTCTTCTGAGATGTTTAAGGTTTGACAAAGCAAGCTCTGACTCAAACACTGTTCTCTGAAACTGGGTGCATGGCAGTCAACCAATGGGACCTGCTCTCCAGCATGTTCATTTTCACTTATTTCCTTGAGACAATTCCTAAGTTTTCTATACGTTATTAGCAAAAAAATAGAGGTATAGATTTTTGTGTGTGTTGTATTTTTTGTAATATGTTGAACCATTTTGTTTGATTTAGAGTGAAAAAAATAGACTTAAGGACTGTTTTCTCTTGTTTACAGCAAACTCAAGGTTCGTACTTAGACACTATATGAATGATGAAACAAAGTTATAAATATTCATTACTTAGTGGAATCATATTTTTTAAAAGCACATCTTTGTACACAAAGCATTTGTAAATCCCCGTTAGTGGTATTTATGTTCCCACATCAAAATTCCTCGTTTGCAGCCGACCAAACATCTTAGGCTTAGATCTTCCTCCTACATGTAATGGAATCACAGTGCTGTCACAGACATCACAGCCATTTTTGTAAAATATGATGTTAAGGAAGACTGAGTTCATTGTACTATACATATGTAAATGCCTCCCTTTCAATAGTCTCAGGGGAAGGAAGATGCCAGAAAGAATTCCCAACCAGCGTACATATTAGTTGTCACCACCTTTCACGGGATAGTAAAGCACATTCATACAAAGAAAAGCATTAAGAATCAAGGAGGCTGCGCAGGGAAAAGTGAGGGCATTTGGGTGAGACTTAGGGAGGTCACGTGGCAAATTATAACAATCTCACTGCGATCCGGAAAATCACACTCTTCCCTTGTTTGTGCCTGTAATGAGGTAACGATGCAGCTCCTCTGGCTTCAGGCAGCCACTGCAGATTTACAGCAGCCTACGGAAGATCAGGCTGCAGCAAACGTTCTTCATTATCAATGGACCCCTACAATAATATCTGAGTTCAGAATAGCTACGGGTGTAATTCGAAGCAGTGGACGTGTTGTTCCTCTGTATCTCAAACTCCTTTCAGTTTCAGAAGTGCAGGGGACTGGTTATCGCAGAGCACGATTGATTGATTGATTGTTGATCCTGTATGTTTATGTGTTTGTGTGTGTAAGACATTCTGAGCTTCTGAAATCCGGCTGTGGATAAGAAATCCACAGTATGACTAAATGACTGGACTGGAAGTTTTGCAAATAAATTATCTGGACAGGAACACAGCTCACAGGGATGCTTCTGTATAAAGAAACTCCACTGGAAACCACTGTGTGTGCGTGAAGTAGATGACCTCTCCCTTTGATTGGCACCCACTCAAATTTGAAACAATTAGAACGATAAAAAAAAAATAATTTCCTGAATCAAAACAGGTAATTCACCAAATTCCCAGCTACATACTATAATAAAGGGATGCAAACCAATTTCTGATGACACTTACTTAGCATGACTTGAAGCAGATTGCCATTCCCAGTTCCACCAGCTTTTGCTTGGGGACTTGACTTGAGCTCTGTCTGCCGCCCAGGCATGGCTCTTCTCAAGAAATGAAATGCTGTTTGCTTGTATAATTTCCCACTGTGCAGTCTTTGGTCATTCTGTGCTGCTTCTCTCCTCAGTTGAGACTGCTAAATGAGTTGGTATTATCTTAATGAAAGCATTGAAAGTGTGGTTAATGCTGCTAGACTCCATATTTAAAAACATTTTTGGAAATCAAAGTGAATATCAGTAAAATATTCTCCTGTGGTTCGCGGCTCCAATAACCAGTACAATGACTTAATTGGCATTCTTGTGCAGCGCTTGGATCTTTGCCAGTTAATGACCCATTGCTGCAGTCTGCACAGGCAAATTACCCCTTCTGTCCAGCTCTTCAGGCTGATGGACTTTTGCCCAAGTAATGGCTGCAGGCTCCTATTCTCAGCTGGCACGGACCCCAGCACGACCATAAACATCCCTGAGAGGATCATAATATGATATATTGGACAGATTCTGGTGCGCCTCACGGTAATATACCGCCGAGCAATTCTGCTGAAGTCAGTGACTTTGGCAGTGGCGTAGCTGAAAGAAGAAACTGGTCTCTCCACTGTTGCTTTCTCAAGTAATGAAGCACTTGCAGGCTCTTAGCTAGTCTGTGTCCTTTTAGATGATGCAAGTTTTGTGAACCCTTTGTCAAACATTCAAAATAGTTTTTGGTTTTGTTCTGGTTTTAAATGGTTGCATTGTCTCTTCTCCCTACAGGATTTTCCATTCTTCAGGCGATTATGGAAGCAGCAGTACAGAACAACTGGCAAGTGACAGCCAGATCTGTAGGAAGCATAAAGGATGTTCAAGAGTTCAGAAGAATTATAGAGGAGATGGACAGACGGCAAGAGAAAAGATACTTAATTGACTGTGAAGTAGACAGAATCAACACCATTTTGGAACAGGTATATGCTTTTCAGAAATTGTGATGCCTCTGTGACACACATCATTAATGTTTCCAGAACTGTCTTTTTCTAGAAATTGATTAAATATCCATTGAGATATGAGTCCCAACAACTGGCCAGTTACCTAGTAAAATTAAAATGTCTCTCATAGTTGGTGACAGCGCTTACATGTAACCTACCAGGAAATATCTCTGTGATATTTTTTTCCCAAATGTTAATAATGAATTATTTTGAAGTAGATTAAGAACCTAAAACCTCAGCTGCCAGAGGAACATTACTGGCGTCAGGACTACTTGTAGGGATGGCGAGACAGGTGCAGTTTGTTGAGTAGAACATGAAACAAGGAATAAGAAGCTAGTGAAGTAGTTTTGAATCATGTTAAAGAGTTCCTAAATGGAAATATTGCTAATGAAAAATTCAGCTCGCAGTCCAAATGGCTCATTAGCACTTTTTGGTACATAAAGCTCTTCCCCCTGCACAGCAAGTACTATTGACAGACTAAAATTGTGGGTGATGGAGTCTAAACACCTTTATTGGGGAAGATGGTCTTTTGGGTGACTGTTTTGCTGTTGCGTGGCCTTCCCAGTGCTTGCTCAGGGGACTTTCCATAGCCCCTGGCCATCCCAGAGTGCTACCCAGAATGCCTGTGCCACTGGTCGTGCTGTGCAACGTGCTCGAAGAGGGGTAGTAACACATACACATGGCAGGGAGCGGAAGCAGGACAAGTCCCTGCTGCCTGGGCTCACAGCAAGGCTGGTGTTGGTACGGAACCAAATCCATGCTGCTTGTTTATTCATAGGCATGTGGGAATTCACTTACATTAAGACCGAAAAACCCTCTGATTATTGCCACTTCGTAAGTTTAACTGTGGGTTTATAGTATGGAATAGATCAAAAGTAACATTTAAATTTCATGAAGCATTAGCATATCTCTTAGAAACGTTGTATTGTAAACTAGTCGCAAACTGACCTCACTGCCATAGAAAACGCAAAAGCTGTATTCACTGGGTGACTTCTCAAAATATCCAGTTCCCCTCAAGCCTTGAGGTGTCTCACTGAGGGCCAGTCTGCGGGGACTGAATCGCTGTGGTCACAGCCAGGTCCTGTAGCTGCTGGTTACAGAGGGCAGCAGGGAGGAGAGAGGTGCTCAAGAGAACGTCGCACAGGCTGGTGCTGGTCCGTAGCTCTGACAGCCGGTATGGTTCATAGAATCATAGAATGGTTAGAGTTGGAAGGGACCTCAAAGATCATCTAGTTCCAACCCCCCTGCCATGGGCAGGGAAACTCTTCACTACACCAGGTTGCCCAAAGCCTCATCCAACCTGGCCTTGAACACTTCCAGGGATGGGGCACTCACAACTTCCCTGGGCAACCTGTTCCAGTGCCTCACCACCCTCTGAGTGAAAAATTTCTGCCTTATACCTAATCTAAATCTGCCCTCTTTCAGTTTAAAGCCATTGCCCCTTGTCCTATCACTACATGCCCTTGGAAAAAGTCCCTCTCCAGCTTTCCTGTAGATCCCCAATGGTTGTGATACTAATACAGAGCATTGCATTTTACACTGTATTTTCAGTCAATATGGTGAGTGCACCCTTTAGGGAAATTCATACAGCAAAGTGTAAGAAACTTGTTGTTGGGTTTTTTTCCTTCCGTTTGCTCATGTTCTTGCAAAATATGCAAAGCACCATACCTACAGCCCACTCTTCTGAAAATGATGCAGGAGAGCACTCCCGAGCCAAGCTTAAATAGCTCTTTGGGCCCACTCTCAACTGGAGAGCAGGTCTTTTGTTTGATCTTTCTAACTCCATTTACATTTTGTTCTCTGTTTTTCTTATATTGTGCAAGTGAGAGGGAAAAAAAAAAAATCAAACCATTCCAGTACCTAAAATGAGAGCTATATACCGAGCAAATCACGTAGGAAAAAAGTGGCAAACTCCTTTCTTCTGCAAGCATTCTAAATTCAAACCTAGTGAAGCTTTCTATCCATGTGATTAGCATCTGTGTAACTAAAGATTTGCTATTGGGACCTCCAGGTTTCCCCATACTCTACAATATACTGTACAGTTCTCACGCTTTTGCATAATTAGAGCCTTTCTGTTGTCATTATTGCATTGTACGTGGCCCATCTCTCTACTGTTAAATGACTTTTTCTGTATTTTACCCGCCGTCCATCTTTCGAACTTTATTTACACGAAATTGTGACATTTCCATGAAGTCTTTGTCCTAAATTATCTTAAATATTTCGAAAAGATCTTAAAATTTTCTTGCAGTTGGATTTTAGGACTGTGTCAACCAGTTTTAGCCAATCAGTTGAACACTATCAGTCCATTGTTTTGCAACAAAATCCTGCAGTCGTTTTCACACATAAATACGATGTCATCTATGTCACCCAATTGATGTAATACGCCTATTTCTGCTTAATTTCACTGAAGATACTCATGAGCAAAATTGTTTGAATTTGCAGTATCAAAAATGGATTTAGAACTTTTTGTTTAGGAAACCAAGCTAGGTAGTAAAGCAAACTAAACATACCTTTCAAGGTAACTACTCTAGTACTAATCATGTCTTTTTAGTAGTCTAACAAGAGAGGTTCGGTTATGCAGCACTTTTTAATCAGTATTGTCTCATTTATTTTACTGGGACTATTCACAAAGAATTGCCCAAGCAGATCCCACACTAGTGCCTCTGATGCTAAAAATATCTTCTGACAACAATTTCCAGAGTGGTTTTTTTATCTGATACTGAAAAGCAACCACTTAAGTTTCTGCAGGGAAAGTCAGTAAAGGTGGATCCCAGGTTGATAGCTCAACAATTTCTGGTTTTAGGCTTTTCCTTCCATCTTACATTGTTACCTTCTCATAATGTAGTTAAAAAATCTCCCAAATATGTATGGTACTTAAATCCAGCCAGCTAGTTTGCTCAAGGGAGTGGTGAGTTGTCTTCTTTATAGCCAACTCTGTGTACTGATAGCATACCTTTGAGGGGGAAGATAACTCTGGATTTGCATATTTCAAATCCAGCGGTTTATTACAGTTTAGGAAGTCAAATCGGTGCCTTGTGTGGAGTCTCGAAAGTCTGCTCAGCTAAGAGGCAGTACCATCAGAGCGTGTTAACAGCGTGCCGACTGCACAGCTGCAGGTGGCTTGGAAGAGCTTTTTCCCAGTGAGAACAAAGGGAAGCCAAGATGCTCTACCTCTAATGGCAGAGTACTGGTGGACAAACCCTGCCTCACGGAGGGTTGGTGTAAGCTGCCCTAGCCCAGCTGCCTTTCCATCCTTCTCCCATTTTGGCCTCCTAAGGAGCACATCTTCAAAGGTCAAGCCTCCCATCACCTTCTGGGAGTGATGCCTCTCTCCAGAGAGGGACTTGACTGTGTTCACTGTGAGGATGTGTGGTACCTGCCATTTCATTTTCTCAGGGACAACAGGAGCGTTTGCCAGTGACCCTGGCTTTCAGAAGCTTAAATAGGACTTGTTCAAGAACAAAAATCATAGCAGAAATAAACAGAATGTAAATCACTAAACAGTCTACACACGTGCTGAGTTTGCTATCAGACTTTTGGGCTCTTGGCCAGACCATTCAGCAAACTTGTCAGTTCTCTGCTCCAAAAACTGAATATCATGGTTTCATGTTAGTGCTTGGATTAAATAAGAGTGACCTCTTCTCCTGTATCAGTGTGGGCATTTCTATTTCTTTTATGCTTTTTTCAACCAGTTCAAACCAGGGTATACCTCTCCTCCAAAAGCATAGGCTTATCTAAAGACAATTACACATCTGAGGATCTTTCTCAGAGAATTCAGATTCTGCTGGAATATTCTGTACCTTCCTCCAGCGACGTACAGACATGTGAGTCAGTGACCTTGAGTATTGCATATGCCTTTAGCATCTGGCACATCTGTATGTCTCTGTAGTTCCAAGATCTGAAATCTGTCATATGAAGTATTTCTCTTCTCAGGGCTGGCTGGTACCCAGGAAAGGATCTCTCTCAGCTGTCTCCCCCTGGTCTGTATATGTAAGATAGGGGAAAGCGGTCACCTCAGCTCCTACTCTGCCTGGGTAACCTGTTTTGTGCCAGCTTTCATGCTGCAGCGCTTCTGGTTTCATTCCCCTTCCAGAGAATCTAGTGATGGGCCCCATATTGTGTCCTAGAGGTGGATACCCTGCCCCAATCACCTCTGGCCCTGTCTCTTCAGCTACAGAGTAAGGGGAAGCAGAGAGATTAATAGTCATTCCGTAAGTTTCCATCTGTTTGTTCACTTGCCCTATAGTTCTATAACCATTGAGCGTGTGGATCCGTATCCCTCCTTCCACAACAAAAGTATATCCAATTTAATCATCTAGTGGCCTCTCAAGCATACAGATAGCAAGACTTATGTCATGCAAAATTCATAAGCTCCCCACACTTCTTGTCCCTTGACGCTAAAATATTCCAGTATTCCTTCACAGATAGATATGAAATTTTGTTCTCATAAACAGAAGAACATTTTCTTCTGAGAACTAACAGTAAGCTTTAGCCTGTTCAACCGTGTATTTAGAGACATGTTTTTAAGTTAAGAAATACGTTTTTCTATTCCCAAGATAACAGGCTGTATTTCAGACTAGAGTGACTCTGTGTCCATTTAGAAGAAAATCTCCTGAGGGAAAATAAGGAGGAAGAAACTCCATTCAGGATCAAAATGGTGAAACTTTACAAAAGACCTGTTTATTCCAGAGACTGCATGCTTTTATCAAAAGGGCACTATCTCCAAACATAGCCGTAAAGGTTAGGCTCCAAGGCAATCTCTGTATTGAGTGGAGGCATCTCACAAAGCAGAAGCAATATTACAGAAGAGAATGCAGTCCTCAAAATTTTACAATGACAGTCGAACTGTCAAAGATGACTTGAAGTACAGCATCCGTAGGATTAAGAAGGGTAATCTGATTGACTGAACCCTGTCCAGTGCAAGCACTGACTATGACTTGACCTTTGAGTCTGAAATTTTGAGATTAGGAGGATGGTCT